AGCACATTACCTACGAACAGCACACACAGACACACCTGCTCTGGTGAAGGTGACATGGGAAAAACAAGAAAATAAATAAAAAACCAAGACTATAAAAAATTAAACCAAGGGACTTTAAACAATGTGAATACACTCTTGAGTGATCTTGACAATGAAACAAAGTTCACCTAATTAACTCTGGTTGACAGCCCGATGACAGAAAATGAGGTGCAAACAAGAACTCTCTCTGGCAACTGCATTGTGCATGGCCAGGCTGTCTGTGGCTCACAAGATCACGCTGGCAACAGGCAGGTGGCAGCAACACCAGTTGAGTCGATCTGCTTTGCTGGACCTGAATTAGGGATGCTATTTCCAACAGCTTTATTAGGCAATCAGAAATAAGTTGTGAAGAATGGCTCTCAAAACAGGAACTTCTCTTGGTAGAACAAAATGTGAAAAATGAGAACACTTATTTATCAGCATAAATACCTTCCAGGCATTAAACTCTTTATAATTAATAATTTAAATTCTGTTCAATTAAAATGAAAATATACAGCTTGACAATAGTAGCAACACTGTGCTATATACTAGAAATTTGTTTTAAGGTAGTTCTCAGGTGCTTTTTGTGGGGGAGTTGAGACAGGGTTTTGCTATGTAGTTCAGGCTGGCCTTGAACTCATTATGTAGCCCACACAAGCCTCAAACTTATGGCGATCTTCCTGTCTCAGCCACCTAAGTGCTGGGCTACATAGTAAGACATGTCTAAAAAAAAAGCATTGTCCTGGTTCTCTCTTTCTTAGACCTCTCATCAGCATCTTCCCACTGTGTCCCCACACCCAGTGGGAGTCAGCTGTCACTGGAGCCTAGGAGGCAACCTACAGAATTTGCCCTTTCAGTACAGAAGGAGGCAGGGGAGAGATACAAATGGATCCAAGGTCAGACAACCCAAGACCAGCATGACTTTCAATAAAGTTTAGGTGCTTTTACATACATACAGAAAAGGTAAGTATAATAGACATATTAATTTGATAACTGTAATCATATGCATATGAAGGTATGTTGTAAACCCTAAATATATATATAGTAACAACAAAATTTTTATTTTAAACAAAAATAAAAACAAAATTAAAGGCAAGCTTAAATCTGGAAATTTGTTAATCTAAAAAGTAGCAATTTACTGAATAACATGCTGAGCTACTCTTATGTATGAAAATATCCCAAAATAAAGGCAAAATTCACAAACAGCTGCAGACATCATTGAATAGCTAGCGGACCATAGTAGAAAAAAACCCAGATGTGTATCTGCAATATAGGATGTCTACACTGTTACAGTGGATTACAAGTCTATCAAACATCTGTGTCCAACTGTGGAGGGTACATTCCTTTGTCCTTCCTTGTTGAAAATACTTTTAAAAAGTAAAACAAGAATTTTGTAGCTTAAAAATGGTTCATTCTAGAGTTTTATATATCCTTCCTATTTTAAATATAAAAAGTAACTTGTAAAGACACAGACCCTATACACTATATTTTAATTTGAAAATGCTGGTCCAGCCTATTGTAATGCTGCATGCCTGTAAACCCATGCGGAGGTTGGGAGGCTGAAGCAGGAGGACTGCCAAGAGTTCAAGGCCAGCCTGAGCTACATAGTAAGACATGCCTTAAAAAAAAAAAAAAGCTGGTACATAAAAATGTGGCTGGAAATTTAAAATGGTTAATATTTACTAATTGCTCACTGTTTTAGCCAAGGCAGGAGTATTTGAAAAATGTTGGGTAAATTTTAGAAAGCAGCCTTGCCCCATGTTTATTTATGTAACTAGTGTTTTCTAGCATCTCAGCTCAGAAACCCTATTGGAAGTACCAAAGTTAGGAGAGGACTTACAGACCCTATAAGATACCATAAATAATGTTTCCAACCCACTCAAGAATGCACAATATTTTAGAGCAAGCCTTTAAGGTGGTAAGTGCAAGTTTCATTAGAGAAATGAGGCCATCCAGAGTTGACTGCCATAGAATAATTACTGTTAAGTTAGTATCTCATCCTCTACCTTGAGCTTTTGTACAATGTCTACACTTCCACTCCACTTATGGTTACAAAGAAAGGCAGACAGTAAGATGATGCAAATGCTGATGTTATACTTCTAAGGCAAGGATGAAGGAAAGTCCTTAGGTATTCCCTCCTGAACACAATGATTTATATCCCTGAATGAAAGGCTTCCACAAATACCTCTGCTTCCAAATAAATGGCTTCTTTCATCTCAGGCTCCAATTACTCAGTACCCTGGGCTATAACACCTTTCTCATAGAGAGAGATTTGTCCCTGACTGGCCCTCCAAAGGAAAAGGTGCCTTAATATCAGAGTATAACTAGAAGAACAGAAACTACAGACTCTGAGGATAAGACACAAGAGAAGTCAACAAGAACTTCCAGTGAGACAACCAGATTTTAGTGACATCTGGAAATAAATAGCATCCTAAGGCTAGAGACAAAGAAGGAAGAGGCACCACCTCAGGTGGCTAGGGCCAGGGTCATACAATGGATGGTGGAAGCATGACAGGCCTTTCCAAAGGGAAATACAGCCACAAAATAAACACCAGCAGCAGTAACTCGAGAAGAGAAGGAAAGGAATGTCCTGGCTCTCCCTCTCTTAGACCTCTCATTAGCATTTTTCCACTGTGTCCCCAAACCTAGTGGGAGTCAGCTGTCACTGGAGCCTAGGAGGCTACAGAATTTGTCCTTTCAGTACAGAAGGAGGCAGGGGAGAGATACAAACGGATCCAAGGTCAGACAACCCAAGACCAGCATGACTTTCAATAAAGTTCACATTATAAAGACAATCTGGTAAATGTATCCAATCAACTATTCTTACTTCAATTATTAAACCAATAAGTTGTAGGACTTCATCATCTTTCAGATTTTGAAATAAAAACTGTAAAATCCAAGATCCAGAAATACAATGCTGCTAGGCAAGGTAAGAACAGCCCATTTAGCTGATGTGTAAAAATTTGCACCTGAGGTAAAGGACATCTGGTCAAGTCTGTCTTTTTATGCCTAAAAAGTCTAATTTGGAATAATGCAAAGGATATGTTTTCAAAGAAAAGTAAGAGAGTCCCTAGAGAAATGAATCAGCCAACATTTAGCATAAATTCATACTTCTTATTCAATTCAAACGAGAAAGCAGAGTGTTAACACGGATTCTCTGGAGTATGAGAATAAAAATATGTTGATTAGAAATTGATTTCAAAAGTCAATCTTAGAGCTATCCATACCTTTAAAAAAAAATTACTCGTTCTTATATGCTAAGAAATGTAAATAAACACAGCCATTATGGAAAATAGTATGGAAGTTCTTTAAAAAACCAAAATTATACTATGATCCAGCTATTCTACTACCTAGTTTTCCAAAAGAAATGAAATCAGTATACTGGGATTATCAGTATACTAACTAAAGAGATAATGTGTACTTCCATTTTTACAGCAGCCAATGACAGCCAATATCTGGAATCAACTGAGGTGTGTCTATCAATGGGTTAATGAATAAAAAAAATGCAACATAAATATACAACAGATTATCATACAGCTGTTAAAAACAGTGCAATCTCGTTATCTGAAGCAACATGAGTGGAACTGGAGGACATTATAGTAAGTGCAATAAGCCAGTACAAAAAAGACAAACATGGTATCTTCTCATTCATTGTGGAAGCAAACAAATGTTGAATTCATGTAGGTAGACAATAGAAAAGTGATCCCTAGAGACTAGAATAGGAGGGTAATAGAGGGAGGTGGCATAAAGGCTACCAAAATACAGCTGCAGTAAGTACAGTACTAATAACATTGTATATTTCAATAGATGACAACAGCACACAACTTATTATATATTTATAAGGCGCTAGAAGCAAGGAATTCAAAGGTTCTGAACAAAAAGAAATTATGAATATTTGAAGAGATGGAAATTCTAATGATCCTGGTTTGACCATTACACATTGTATATATGTATGGAATTATGTATGTATAATCAGAAATCAAGCAATGTTTCATATACCAAAGAATAAATGCACAATGGTCAATATGTTTTGCTCTTAATTAAAACATATTCCAATATTAACTAGGAATATATTTCAAGAACTCCCTAGAGTTTCTGTCATATGGCTAGGACATAATTCATAGAAAACTAAAAACAAAACATTATTTTAATTTTTGATAATTTATTTCATGAAAATATATTTACCAAATATAGCTTTAAAAAAAAAAACTTTCTAATTGTTAAGGAATCTGTGTCTATTGGAAGTATCTGTTTTATCTTAATCAAATGAGCATATCAATAAGTCAAATCAGTAAACACTATTTGTTTTAATTTATATTTAAAAAATTTTTTTTTTTTGGTACTGGGGATCGACCTCTGGTCATTGTGCTTGCAAGGCAGGCAGCGGAACCACTGAGCTAAATCCTGGCCCTAATTTATATAAATTTTTATATATTCTGCCTTCACTCATTTCAATAGTAATCTACATGCAAAGCTATGCAACATACTTTAATTTTATTATTTTGGTAAAAGCAATAAATTCTATTTTATGTGAAAAAGGATAGTGACTATGTAGCCTAAAGGACCACAAAGTGTGGACACTGGGCACAATAAAAAGGGGGAAATGTGCTAATTTTCATGAAGTCCTAAGATATCAATCCTTGGAGGCTTTCAGGCAGACATTTAAGCCTCTACAAATTTGGAAAGTAGAAAACAATTATTTGATTGTAAAGAGAAAATGTTTATTCTTGTAAAAACATGATAACCAGCCAATACACTACCATTTAGAATAACTTGTCATAACAATTGTTGCTATTTTTAAAATACTGCCACCATTCTGCCATTTAGTACATTATAATTAAGTACAGGGGCTGGGGCTTTAGCTCAGTGGTGCTGCCACCCACCTCACAAACATAAGGTTCAATCCCCAGTACCAAAAAAAAAAAAAGCTACCGGGTTCACTGCATTTATCATTGAAAGTAGTTTTTTCCGTGCACACTTACCATCCACTCAGATATGACAACATCCACTTTTTCTACAGGAAGATGAACTTCTTCAATCTTTCCTTTAATTAGTACAATAGTATCTTCGAGTTTATTTAGTCTGAAAATTATAGTAAATTGCATTAGTATATTAACCACACTGAAATCTAGTTAAATTACATATTTTTTTGCCAACTGTTCACATTGTTTTATGGAATTAAAAAGTATTCAAACTTTAACCTGTATTAAAATTATCATTTGGTTCTCCCATTAATGCCAAAGACGTTTCTGGTTAATATGGCAATATATAAACCAATAATGGAAACTTCCAGTTAAAAGGAAATTAATTATATAAAAAATATATGCCAAAAAACTTACTGTTTTTTTAAAAAAAGACAAAAGGTGTGTGGGGGGGAGTGAAGACAGAACACCAACAACAAAAATGCCGTTTAAAGGGAATAAAAGTACGTTATAAGCATATACAAATATGGCAAGAAGAAACTAATAAAATCTAACATTTTTTCAAAGAACAAAGAGAGTATGTAAAATATATTGTAAACATTTTGTATATAGGCTACTGGCTGAAATGAAAACAGTCTGGCTACATTGGGCTTAACAAGATTATTACTAGAGCTAAACTAAGAATAAAGAGAAGTCGTGGTGGTGAAAAAATTGGAAGCCAGAAACCTTTAACTTGAAGCCCAGACCCTCTAGCACTTCCCAACTACTGACTCTCAGCAAGCCTAATCATCCCATTGAGGCGTGCGTGCGATCACCTGTGAGGGAACAGCACTTATCCTGCAAGCACTACATAATGGTAATGGTATCAGCATGAAAAGCAAAAGCAACATTAGAGCTCCTCCTGGAAAGCACACATACTCTCAGGAGCATTCAGAGGGATCAATGGCTTAAGCAATGACTTCATGCCCAGGTGGACCCCCGGGCCAAGGACCAGGTGAGTCTCAGGTGCTGCTCCAGCCTCTTCTGTAGGCCCAGCGGGTGAGCAGAGAACAGACTTTCCCCTCTCCAGGTGAGTGTCTCCCAAGCTGCACTCATCATTATAGTTTCACAGACTGCTTTTCAGAAAAAAAACAAAGGATAAAGGGGAAGAGAGGAAAATGAAAGGGAGACAAAACAATAAGCACCTCATATGGAGGGGTTGTTTAGATGCTCTAAGAAAAACAATGTGGAAAAAAAGGGATTAGACAGAGCTTCTACAAAGGAATTATAAACAAGCTCTGTAGAGGCCATTAGGGATTACAGAGGCTCATTGTTTGGCTAAATGATTGCAGAAAACAATAAAAATGATTTATATCTGAAAATACAGGGCAAGAAGATGCTGACCAAGGTCAGAAGGTACAACGAGGAGGAAGAAATTAAAACCGCTGATCATGGGGAATTATTTTCCAGGGAACATTAATCTCCTAGGTGAATTTCCCATTTAAAGTAACTTAATATCCTTGTACAGTCTGGGAGATTACAAATATTAACAATAAACTCTGACACATTTTAATTTCCAATTTCTAAGTTTTTCATGGTTGTCTTCTTACATTTCCTGCCCCCTCATTTCTTGGCCTGCATAAAAATAAATGTTTATATATTATTTATGTACTTAGGACCTTAATACTTTTGTTTTTTCATTTCCAATTCTTAAACTTTCCTTTTTATCATCTTGCTGCATGGGCTGAGATCTCCACATTATAGTGCTGAATGGAAGAGGTGACAACTGGTACCCGTCTTGTTCCTAAATTCATCAAGAAGTTAATTGTGGGTTCTATTTTTGTTGATATTCCACATCACATTAGGACATTACTTTCCAGCTCTAGTTTTTGTTTTGTTTGTTTGCTTAGTCATTGTGGTACTAGAAATTGAAACCAGAGCCTCTCTGCTGAGCTACATCCCCAGGCCTGTTTTTATTTTTTTATTTTGAGACAAGGTCTCACTAAGTTACACAGGCTGGGCTTGGCCTTGCAATCCTCCTTCCTCAGGCTCCTAGAGTGCTGGGATTATAGGTGTCTGCCACCAAGACTAGATTGCCTAGAGTTTTAAATACACAAACATACAGAACAGGTAGTAAATTTTATCATTTTTTTCTGCAAATACTAAGATGATTCTCAATAGATTTTTCCGGCTAATTTTCTCATATTTAGCCAACTTTGTATTCATGTGGAAAACTGTAAAAGTATATTGCCCAATTAGCTAGCTAGCTTGCTTTCTTTTTTGAGTGCTGAGGATGAAACTCATGCTCTCTTGTGTGCTAAACACAGTCCACTACTGTTACAACCCCCACCCAATTTTTTAATACTGTAATTGATTAGGATTCTTGTACATATGTTCATGAATAAGTGATTTGTGATTTTTCTATTTTACTCCTTCAGTGTGATTTGGGTGTCAAAATTATTGGGCCCATTCACTGATGATTTATTCTTGACAATGATGACCTGCAAGTATAAAGAAAAAATGGGCTTTGTAACAAATTTCATAGGACAAGTTGGACATCTGAACAGAAGGCGGACTGGGGGGATGAATTAACGAATAAATGAATGAGAATAAACTGGACCACCACTTCATATCATAAACAAAATCCAATGCCCAGTAGATCACAATCTTATATACAAAAAGCACAATTATAAAGCGTTTACAAGAGGATATACTATCTGTGACTTCAGAATAGGCAAATATAATTCATTCAACTTACAAATAATGGCAAATATAAATAAGAAAGTTACTAAATGCGAACTGAAAAATTTAGTTCATCAGAAGAAATTGTCAAGGTGGTAAATACAAGAACAAGGCAAACCTCTTGCATTACATAAAATCTATGAACAAACCAAATCACTCATTCATATATTCTACAAATAAATATATATTCTACAAATTAGAAAAGACACAACTCGAAAGAAATCTATGCAAAAAACATAAGCAAATATTTGACAGAAAAGGGAATCCAAATGACCAATAATCACATGACATAGTCTCATCAACAATCACAGAAACAAAATATTTAAACGTGTTACTGCTATACAATCAACTTTAAAAGGTAGACAGTACATCCAGAACTTTAATATATTGCTGGCCTAAGTATAACATGGTATAACAACATTAGAAAATAGCCTGGCAATGCCTAGAAAATATGAAGTTCCCCATGTAAGTACATACACTACTGATGTGTATACCAGGGTACATGTGCAAAATGTTCATAACAGAACTGTTCTCAGCAGCCCATGTGATTGAAAAAGAGCAGTGAATGTGGGCAGGATTTGGAAGTGCCCTGGATGGTGGTTACTACATTTTACCATTTATATCTGGATATGCCCACAAAGCCTCATGTGCTCACAGGAGGGATTTTGGGGAGGCAATTGGATCACGGTGGCATGATACTCATTGGTGGATTAGTCTACTGATGAGTTTATGCTGAATGTGACTTGGGAGGTGAAGCCTAGCTAGAGGAAAGGGTCACTGGGACATGGCCTGGTAGGGTCTATCTCCCTCCTCCTCCATTGATCTTTTTCTGCCTCCTGCCTGCCACCCCATGAGCTCTTTCTCCTCTGCCATGCTGCCCTGCCTTGGAGCCAGCTGACCATGGACTGAGACCTCTACCAACTGGGAGCCAAGGTATTTCCTCCTCAGAGTTGTGGGTGTTGGGTAGTGTGTCCCACCAATGAGAAAGTAACTAAGAGGGGCCAGGGATTTAGCTCAGTGGTTCTGGCGCCTGCCTCGCAAGTGCAAGGACCCCGAGTTTGATCCCCAGCACTACAAAAAAAAAAAAAAAAAACACTAAGAGAAAGTAACTAAGACATATGTTTAATTTCACTTGTTATTTATGCATATTTCTTTATATTAATGTTCATGTTTTTTATTTGCTTTTAATCTATGTTCTATTTCATATAAAAACAAAGAAAAAAGCTTTTATTGGAGTTTTTCAAAGGGATATTTAACAAAGTTCCTTTTCATGTACTTATTATACTTGCTTGCTATTTACTGAAATCCTTATTAAGGTTTTAACAATTAAACCCTTGAAAGAGAAAGAAAAGGAATGCTTCTTAAAAGAGCAAAATATTCCCATTGTCTAGAAATCTATTCAGAATGGTTATGCTAAAACATGACCAGTGTTCTGTAAAAGGCCATCTGCTCAGGCTGTTTATTGTCTGCTACAAGTCATAATCCTATTTGCATCAGTAATTACTTGTTCAAATATGAATATAACAGGAAAGAGTATGACTGCAGCAAATACACAGGAAAAAAGACAAAGCCTCATAATTCCCAGTAATTTGGATAAAAATCGCTCTAAACAGATACTGTCCACACAGATCACCTCTTTCATGAGACTGTTCATCTTTATCACTACTTAATTATCCATTCATAAAAACACCATAGATTTTACTTAGTTTTCTCAGGTGGTTACTCACTAAATCTTGTTTCATTATAAAAGCACTTGAAATGAATCCTATCTCTGGAAACACCTGCTAAAAACTAGCACAGTACTGCTCTGTAGAAACATGACATTGCAATAAAAAGGCTACTTTAATTCTCTTAACTAAAACAATTTTAAAACACTCACTGTCAATTTCTTTTGCATGGAAATTTTACTAAAACACCACTTTCCTGTATTATTTCCAATCTTAAAAGCAGCAATTTAACTTACTTATGAAACAGGGATGTCATCATGACTAATATCACTGGGCATGGAAAGAAAATAGACAGTGTATGGACTTAAGAATATTCCCTAAGAGAGAAAGAACAGTAAACAGTACAGACTACTACAGAAACTCATATGGCAAACCCTTAAATAAGTGAAACTTCACTTTAGCCAGAAGATGACAGCATCACAGATATATAAGGATCTGGGAGTGGGGGAGGGCATATTTGTGCTTACAACTAGTGTGTTTGTGTTTGTGTGTGTGTGTGTGTGTGTATGTGTGTGAGAAAAACAGCAAATTTAAAGAACAATGAATAATTTAGTATGACGAGAGACACAATGTTTAGTGTGCCAAGATGAAGCTGGGAGATTTTTAGAAGTGATACTAATGAGTCTAGATTTTAAAGACGAGGAGACATTTCAGAATTTCAGAATAAGAAATATAATCAAATCCATAATCTACTTTTGTCCAAAGCGATTTA